CTGGAATAATCATGCTGAGTATTGCCGTTAACCTGGCTCGGAGCAGTAACCGAAGACAACTCTGCACATCTGGTATCCTTACCTGTTCAACATCTGGTATCCTTATCTATATCCACCCTACTGGATTCGCAGTAGCAGGGTCATAGACAATACTCAGCATGATTATTCTTGTTCTATGGGCTGTATGCCGGGTTTAGTAAGATTAGTAGCGGAAGGACGACAGGCAATACTTTGTATAGTCATTTGTGTTTGTATGGGTATGTTCCGGATGATACCAGCATCCTCCGTAAATGTTAGTAATTTTACCATCCGCATACGTGCATACTGCATGGAGAACACCGGCAAATCACTGAGATTCTTGACCACTAGACAAACGACGAAGGACGGACTCCACGTGTGTGGCGCAAGATCGGCTCGCAGTTTTTGGCTGAGTGCATGCAGCAGAAGACTGTGCTCAGCTGGCTAAAAGCTGCACACGATTGGTTTAGAAGAAGTAGAAGTAGAAGTAGAAGTAGAATTTGAAGTTACTTTAGTATTACGAATGTCGCTCTGGAACCCAAACAAGAGCCAGTAAGGCCCGTAGGGCCCGTAGAGCCCGTAGGGGCCCGTACAGACCCGTAGGGCCCGTAAGGCCCGTAAGGCCCGCAGGGCCCGCGCAGGGCCCACGGAGGGCCCGTAAAGCCCGTAGGGCCCGTAGAGCCCGTAGGGCCCGTAGAGCCCGTACAGCCCGTATAGGCCCGCATCGGGCCCGTAAAGGCCCGCAGAAGTCCCGGGCCCAATATGGTACCCTTCTCTAAATATGGACTACTTGGACCCTTAGGGATTCTTCCTACAGAAATGTATTTTCTAGGTCTCCAAGTGGGCCCTTTTTTTTCCCCTTATGAAGTCTTAGGTTCCTTTTGAGGTACCCACTACCAAAAAGGGAGCCCTTTCTGATCCTGGGTTACTTGGCATCCTAGTTCTTTTCATATGGGTAGTTTGCAAAATTAGGGTCCCTGTTGCCATATACTCAACACCTTGCTAACGTCATCAAGGCCACCGTAGCGTCAAGGACTTCTTGCATTCGACAGGAGGACACTGGCCGTCCAATATTTAATTCACCAGCCACATCTGATCCCCGTCCCCCACCCCTGAGTTTTTAAACTATAGTCTGTAATTTCAGTCTCCTTCCCGGGAAACACGGGTGAATGATTATGTTTCTGCGGTTATTAATATTCCCTAAACCCTAAACCCTAAACCGTCCCATGTTTGTTGGAAGAAAGGAGGCGGTCTTGTTGCTACCGCTGCAGGCGGCGTTTGTCAGACTTCCGCCGATAAGTCACCGCAACTCCCTCTTAGAGCTTTTGCAACTGCAGATGAGACCTGAGCACATCGGGTAGTGCCCTTTAGAGTGTTTATGACATTTCGGGTGAAATGAACGACGACGCGGACATGCTTTCACGCTGGGATGGTGAGAGTAAGCTTCCTAAGCGCTTTTCGTCACAGTGCTTAGGGTTTGGGGGTTTGGGGTTTGGGGTTTAGGGTTTAGGGGTTTAGGGCTTAGGGTTTCTGAACGCCTCGCTACATAAACATAGTGTTTCTGAACACCTCGCTATTTTGTGGGCTTGCGGGACATCCTTCAGGCGGGGTAATTTCATGCAGGGTGTACAGTTCATGATTCGGAGTTTTGGGTCTGGAGCTTTTCCGTTTAGAGTTCAGGATGTAGGGCTTCCTGTTTGGGGTGATCATAGTGTAGGGTTTAGGGATATAGGGCTCCATTCAATGTTGGGGGTGATCATGGTTTATTGTTGATGGCTCGGACCCCTAAACCCTAAACCCTAAACCCTGAACCCTAAACACTAAACCCTAAACCGTACATGTTAAGTCGCCAAGCTCCTCGGCCAAGAACCCACCACCCTACATCATCAGCCCATTGCTTGTGTTATGGAGGAGTCCTTTCGGCTTTTAGATGACCTGGGAAAGCTGCAGTAGGAATGTTCCTTAAACTGTAGAGGTTTGGGCTTTAAGGTACGCTGTTTTTCCTTAAACTGTAGAGGTTTACAGTGTTTAAGGTGTGCTGTTAAAAAAGTCCTGCACCCCACGGCGTGGGTTGCAACACCCTAAGCCTGATCCGTATAGGTACTTGAGCCCATCTCAAGCATGATGGATGAGCCGGTTGGCATGATGGCGCGGGCCACGATGTGATTGTAATGACTTTCGGGTGTAGTACTCGGGAGTTTGGGAGAGTGTATCCTAAACCCTAAACCCCTTAAACCCTAAACCCCGTACATTTAGCTCCTTAAACCCCAAACTGAGTGTAGGACTGGCGAAAAGAGCGGGGCTTCAGAGTTGAGGCTAAGGCTTCACCCTAAACCCTAAGCCCTAAACCCTATACCCTAAACCCTATATACCCTAGACCCTCTACCCTGAACTCTAAACCCTGAGCCCTAAACCCTAAACCCTAAACCCTAAGCCGGATTCCAGTCCTTTTGAGGTGACTGCGCAGGGTTTGGGTTGGCTGTCAGGGCTTCTTTTCGGTGGAGTGCATAAGAGTTTCGGGGAGTTACGTGACTTCGTGATAACTTTTCTCCTAAACCCTAAACCTCAAACCCCAAGCCCTAAACCCTGAACCGCAAACCCCCAACCCCAAACCCTAGACCACGATAAACCCAAAACCCCAAACCCTAAACCCTAAACCCTAAACCCTAAACACCGGGGAGGCTTGAGACTTGGCAGTTTTGGAAAGCTTAGGTTTCTGTTTGAAGACTCGCCCGCTCCCGGTTTAGGGTTTAGGGTTTAGGGTTTAGGGTTTAGGGTTTAGGGTTTAGGGTTTAGGGTTTAGGGTTTAGGGTTTAGGGTTTAGGGACATTTCAAGAAACCCAACCCCCAAAAACCTAGACCCAACACGGCGAGCCCTAAAAAGAGCATAGCTGGGGTTTAGGATTGGGGGGTTTGTCGTGCCCACCCCCAATATCCTCTAAACCCCAAGCCTCAAACCCTAAACCCTTATCCCCAAACCCTACACTCCAAACCCCAATCCCCAAACCCTAAACCCCAAACCCCAATCCCCAAACCCGGTCCAGAAGATCGAACGGATGGGTCACATGGACATCGCCGTCTCTGGCCATGTTGCAGAGCGGCCGCCAGAAGTAGTTCAGGGGAGCATGCCGGACACGCTTGGCTCCCAGTTTCTACCA